CCATGCGGCTAAGGCAGACTGCGGCCGAGCCTAAGATTAAAACATTTTGTTTTTCATGTCTACACAGAAGATGTTAGTAAAGATGAAGCGAGGTCGGAACTGCAGCACAGTCTGAGGAAGAAGAGCATTTTTCACGGATTGCGCAATGAGTTGCAAAGCAATCTCAGGTTTCATCCTCTAGAAATGGGATTTCAGATAGAACTCACTTGACTCAAATGTTGCACTCTTTTCTGTGACGTTCTGGCAACCATGGCTGTGGAGTATAATCGCAATATGCTGCCAATGTGCACATTGGGCCTGGGCTTGAATCTCGTTCGGAGGCAGTGATGTGATGAGGCGGCGGGGTTGAGCCTGCGGCCCAGGCTGGATGAGAGACCCTTTTTGGAGGAGAGACGGTTTGAGTGTGATTGTGGAAAAAGCCGACCATCAGTCAGCTTCATCGTAGTTCCTTTTTTTTTATTTAATTAGTTTACGAGACTATCCGGAATTCTGTAATAATTCATTGTTAGGGGGACTTTCATTTCGTATGAAAGTGAATGAATAAGAGATTCGTGTGTCGATCTCACCAGAAGAGGACGGCGGAATCCCGTTGTACTGCTTTTATACGATATTCATGTTGACGCAGTCCACGCGACTTCCTCTTTCATTTCGGGTGAAATCGTGCTCAGCTTTCGTCCATCATTTGGTGGACATCATCAGAGCTGGGTTTCATTCTTGTAAGAGTCTCACGTTAACAATAGACTAAGAATACTATCCGGCTCTATCTTACTTCTCAGAGATCGACACACGAATCTCTTCTTCATTCACTTTCATACGAAATGAAAGTCCCCTAACAATGTTATCTCAAGAGACTCATTGAAACCCAGTTCCTATTCGTATCTACAATGTAATAATTGAGCCTAGCTAGCACAAACGGCTCAAAGGACTGATAGTTGAGTTTTCTCAACAATATCTTCTTTAATTTCGCCTAGATAGGAATAAAAAGTAGGCTTAGAGGAATTTTATGTGGTTTTTTTGTAGTAAACATTTTCATATAAAAGGAAAAGTTGTTCGGAGTAGAGAATCTGTAAACTGGTTGCCCTGGAAATCGAAAGAAGAGTGCA